GTTTTGACATTATTCTGAAGAAGTTTGAAGCAAATCGGGTAAAAAGAAGATGATGAATTAAAATAAATTAAATTAAAAAATTAAATAAATAAATAATAAATTAAAAGCATTTTGAAAATGACACACTTCCTTCCGTCAGTTGGTGGCGCTATGACTTTGGGTGCGTCCGAAATCGCATACTGCTTAGTAGGTACTACATTTGAATTTGAACGTACTACTCGACCGTTAAAAAAGTACGTTCTATATAGTATGAATGCGAGTAGTATGAATGGAATTCGGACGTACTACATCCGCCATGTTGATGTTGTCACGTGACATGCGTCTACACAACAGCGCCTAAATTTAAAGAGCTCTCACTACTGCGAACATCAGCAATGTTTCACGTAATTCTTACCACTTTCATCGGCGATTGAACATCTTTTTACAGCCGACTCACGAAATTATCTCATCGACTTACAATGTTTAAACTTTCAATAAGTCAGCCGTTCACTTAGATCATGTTAAACACGTGCAATTTAACCACAGTGAACAAGGTTTTTCCCTGAGGTACTTACACTTGAAGAGAGCCGCGTCGCCGCCTTCTGCCGTTCTCGAATATGGCGCCTCCTCTCGCGTGGCCTCATGGGATAGTAAAGTGTCCATCATATGCATGCTACGGAATTCGGGCGGAAGTAGTAGGTCATCCGGGTACTTCTCGCCTACTGTTTTTCGAATACTATGAATTCGGACGTACTACTCGCTTCGCATACTGTTTTTCGCCTACTATATAGTATGGAAGTATGTGATTTCGGACGCAGCTCTCACACACACATCCACTCAATACCATCGTTTGTTACATTACCTGGGCTTAATCACTACAGTTTGTATCATTAGGTAAGTTCATGCTAAAGCAATACATGTAAATAGTACGGTTAATTTTTTAAAGCAATTGTTCGTTTGAATTGCGACGGTGGGGGTCGGTGACGCGGTGGGCAAGTGATTTATAACCGGTGTTGCGGCTTAACACCCGTATCACCGTCTATCGCGGCAAGCCTACCATACAGACATTTGGTCAGTATGATTTTTTTATGTTTTTGAAAGAAATCTCTAATGCTCATCATTGCTGTAATCTTGTGAAATATTATTACAATTTATAATAACAGTGCTATTAGTTTTTAATTGTAGCGTCTGTTCTTTTACTGAACTAAATTATTTTTATTTCTATAAAAAATCAAAAAACGACGGTGGGGGTGTGACGCGGTGGGCAAGTGATTTATAACCGGTGTTGCGGCTTAACACCCGTATCACCGTCAGCACCGTCTATCGCGGCAAGCCTACCATACAGACATTTGGTCAGTATGATTTTTTTATGTTTTTGAAAGAAATCTCTAATGCTCATCATTGCTGTAATCTTGTGAAATATTATTACAATTTATAATAACAGTGCTATTATAAAACGGATAGCTCCGGTCCTTGATTCTAATTGGTTGAGCCAAGTTCGAAGCTGTTGTAAATCACTCTACAAACATACACCTTTTATTTACATTTGTGTGTTGCTCGGCAACCACTTTGTTTCTGAGGAACTATATTGTTTGGCGGAAGACTAATGATTTTATTAATATCATTACACTTTATTTACTCCGTTTTATTTTGTGAAACCTTACTACGTATATGGAATAACCGTTTTATAAAAGCAATAAGCCCCGTGAAGCCGTGGTTTACAGTGATTTAATAACAGCTAAAGGGGTTGTAGGCACTCCGCTTCGTTTACATAAATTGACTGTAAACCATGGCTTCTTGGGGCTTATTGCTTTATTTTAATATACTTTAAAATGCAATTTTATGAATTTTCAGCATCATTACTCTAGTCTTCAGTTTCACACGATCCTTCAGAAAGCATTCTAATATGCTGATTTAGGGCTGAAGAAACATTTCTTCTTATTATCAATGTTGAAAACATTTGTGCTGCTTAATATTTTTTTGTGGAAATCATGTAAATTTGTTTCATGATTCTTTAAGAGAAAATGCTAAAGAACACCATTTATTTGAAATAGAAATCTTTGGTAACATAAAATGTCACTTTTGATCAATTAAAGGTTTTCTTGAATAAAAGTATTAATTTCTTTCAATTAAAAAAGTCTTACTGACCTCAAACCTATGAAGGGTAGTGTATATATTATATTATTGCTATTGAATTGTTATTATTTTTTGGCATAAAATATTATTATTTTGTCAGAAAAAAAAAGATTGTGTGAAATAGTAATAGTGATGACCTAATCATGTCTATTCACACATGACTAATTATTATGATTTCATAGAATTGATAAGATTTGTTGTTGCTGTTTTGGTGGAAACAGTGATTTTTGTAATGGCTCCCTTATTTCCCATGTTTCTATTTGAATTCATTTGAATGGAGTTAACCAACTCTGTGTTCATCAACTACAGAACTTGCCGTCAGAGATTGAAGTGAAATATAAAATCGCAGAGTGTTATACTATTCTGAAGCTGGATAAAGATGCCATATCCGTGCTGGAGGGAATCCCTTCACGCCAGAGAACGCCAAAGGTGTGTTTTCACACGCGGCCTAGTGCTTTTTTTGTTTTACAAATCTGTGTGTGTGTGAATCTAACAAGCTAATATACTCATAATGATTAAGTCTAAAAAGTGGCATAAAAGAGCACTTTGTTTGATTGTTTTCCAGATCAACATGATGCTGGCGAATCTTTACAGGAAGGCCGGTCAGGAGCGTTCAGCCGTCACAAGCTATAAGGAGGTGTTGAGACAGTGTCCTCTGGCTCTTGATGCTATTATTGGTCAGTAAGAATACAGCTGTGTTCCTGTGGTGGTGCATCTTGTCCTTTCTTTGTCTTGAAAGTTCACTCTGAACCCAACATTAAAGCCTCGTCCTGTCTGCTCCGCTGCAGGGCTTCTGTCTCTATCGGTGAAGGGGGCAGAGGTCGCTTCCATGACGATGGACGTGATTCAGAGCATCCCGAATCTTGATTGGCTGTCTGTCTGGATTAAAGCACATGCTTTCACACACGGAGGGGACAATCAGAGAGCCATCAACACTATCTGGTGAGGATAGGACAGTAGGCGCGTTTCCATTACCCTTCAAATTGCGCAAATTGAAATTGCGAATTGAAAATACGCCTAATGGAAACGCGTCAATTTCACAAAAACGGCCATATATCGCAAAAACGTTGTTACGCTGGCATGAGGTGGTTTTTCAGGCAATGCGAAAAAGGATTAATTCGCAAAACTGCAATGGAAAAACGGCTTTTTCGCATTTACAGGTCACATGGCGTATGTAAAAAGTCATATGATCATTCTTCAATGTACTATAACCTCCACGAAACACTTCATAAGTGGCCACGCTCCAGTATACGAGGCTTTCCCTACTATTAATGCTTAGACAATTTACACTGCACACGTCTGTGGTGCAGTGTGGCTCTTGATACGGCCACTGAAGCTGATTACGGCCACTCAATGCTTGTGTTAATGTTTTTATACAGTCTATGGTTTATTCCAGCCGCGCCACGCACGTTTCTGAAGCGGCTCTCTGTGCTGCTTCTGTGAAGATACACGCATACGCCTCCTTTGAATAAATATAGCCAAAATCCGTTGCCATGACTTATCGCGAGAGGCAAAAGGGTTACGTTTTAGCGTAACAATCGACATTCAGAAAATATCGCCAAAGTTTTGCGCAAATCTGTAATGGAAACGCGCCTACTGTCAGTTCAATTGGGCTTTTCGTGATCAAATTCAGGATTTCAGTAAAGCAACTTTCATTTCTTAGGTGTTGTGTGGCCATGGAAACATTTTGGAATAATTAAAAAAATAAAATAAAATTCTGTAGCAATCTTTACATTTATACATGTTTTATAAATGTTATTTTTTTGTAATAAATAAAATTGTGTGATTTGGTATTAGCCACCACTGTCATCAAAAAGTATGATCTTGTATTAGATTAGATTAGATTCTGTTGTTGTATCATTTATATACTATTATAGTATTTATGAATATATTTTGAATGAGCTTTTTTAATATTTTCAGTAATTTTGTCATTTATTCGTTTTTTTATATTTATATTTAGCTTTTGTTATTTCTGTTTTAGTCATTTTAGTACTTGAAGTTTCTTTTTTTAAGTTTTAGTTTTCATCTTATTTTTATAAAAAAAAAATATTTCAGCATTATTTCAATTAAAAATTATTTAAAATAGTCTTAGTTAACAATAACAATGATTATATATGGTATTTAAACTATTAGATTATATTAGATTCACAGTCATTGTATTATTTATTTACTCTTATAGTATTTAATATTTTGAATTGGCTTTTGAATTTTAAGTTTTAGCAATTTTGTTATGCAATATTTTTCATATATTTTAATACTTATTTCAGTCAGTAGTCAAGGCAACATTTTTTTTTTTTATTCAAACAATTTCATTCAAGTTGAAGTTTTCATGCAATATTTATTTTTTCAGATTTCACTTAATAATTTTAGTTATTAATAACAATTATAATTTTTTTTCCCCATGCAAAAATATTTAGAAAGTAATTACTCACCTGTCACGTGCGTAGCTCTTATGTGTCTGAGTTTTTGTTGACTAGTCCATCTGTCCTCAGCTCTTTGGAGAAGAAGTCACTCTTGAGGGATAACGTTGATCTTTTAGTCACTCTGGCGGATGTGTACTTCAGGGCTGGAGACACCAAAAACTCCATCCTGAAGTTTGAGCAGGCACAGATGCTCGACCCTTACCTGATCAAAGGTGCATGGCATCAACCAGTCCTTTAACCATCTAGATACACTGCATGACGATTCTTGTTTGTTTGAATGAAATGATCGTGCTGGTTTGCAGGTATGGATGTATACGGCTATCTTATGGCTAGGGAGGGTCATCTGGAAGATGTGGAGGTTCTCGGAGGACGATTGTTCAACATATCTGACCAGCATGCTGAGCCCTGGGTCATATCTGGGTGAGTTTGACCTTCTCCTAATGTCTCTGAAACGCGGTTGAACGCTCTTATTGTTTTGTTTTCCCCAGATGTCACAGTTTCTACAGTAAGCGTTACTCTCGTGCCCTGTATCTGGGAGCTAAAGCCATCCAGCTGAACAGCAACAGTGTGCAGGCGCTGCTCCTGAAGGGGGTGGCGCTGAGGAACATGGGCCGAGTGCAGGAAGCCATCATACACTTCAGAGAAGCCATGAGACTGGCGCCCTGTCGTCTGGACTGCTATGAAGGCAAGAAAGAATTTCACGATAATAGGGATATAATGTTGTTATGCATATTTTGTAGGGTAGATCTTGATAGTTTTGTGCAATAAAAGTTTATAGATATTTAGTCTATTGATTTGCTGAATATCTGTTAGTTACTGTCCTGTTTTATAAAGGTTAGACAAATCTCACAGTCATGTTTTCAGTCATCTCATAGTGATACTTGTGACCTTGTTTTCAGGTCTGATTGACTGCTATCTTGCCTCTAATGGTGTCCGGGAGGCTATGGGAATGGCCAACAATATTTACAAGACCCTGGGAGCGAACGCCCAAACTCTCACCATCCTGGCCACAGTTTGTCTGGAAGATCCCATGACCCAGGAGAAGGCCAAGACTCTGCTGGACAAAGCCCTCGCTCAGCGGCCCGACTATATCAAAGCTGTCGTGAAGAAAGCAGAGCTCCTCAGTATGTCAAAAAGTCACATGTCTTTCTATGTTAATCGTAAACCGTGCAATTATTTCATTATGATTTATTTTGTTTATTCTATTTTTTTCTATCTATTATTATTAATGTTTTTGTTGTTGTTAATTGATTATGATTTATGGATTTAATTATAATAATTTTATTTTATAATAATATTTTTAATTTTAATAGTGATTTATTTATTCCATTTGTCATTTTATTTATTTTATTGTTATTATAGTTTTCGTTATTAACTAGTTATCATATTAATTACATTATTTCCTATTTTTTATTATAATTTTTATTATATACTTTTTCTATTATTATTATTTTTACTTATTTATTCTTCTATTATTAAATTTATCATTATTATCTATTTTATGTTGTTATTATAACTTATTTATTAATTACATTATTATTATAAATTATTATTATTTTATTTTTTGTATTATTTATATGATTTCCTATTTATTAATTATATTATTATTTTATACTTTTCTAATTATTATTATTTTGTTTATTTATTCTTCTATTTATTATTAGTTTTATTATTATTTAAAATGAGTCACTAATAAATATTTTTAAGTTATTATAAATAATTTTATTTTAAAATGACAATTATTACACTTTTTATTTGATCAATTTAATAATTCGTAGTAGTAATTTATTTTTATGTATTTGTTTTTCTATTTGTTTATTTTGTTCATTATATAGTTTATTATTATTGTTGCCGTTTTTGTTGTTCTTTAACTGTTATGAAAGTTAGTTATGAAATAACACACATTATTGTTAATAATTAAGCTTCAAAAGCTGATATTTTGGTGGAATGCTGTGTAAAATCTAAATTGTTTTCATTACAGGTCGAGAACAGAAGTATGAGGAAGGAATAGCACTTCTACGGAACACCAGTGTGCAGGCGCTGCTCCTGAAGGGGGTGGCGCTGAGGAACATGGGCCGAGTGCAGGAAGCCATCATACACTTCAGAGAAGCCATGAGACTGGCGCCCTGTCGTCTGGACTGCTATGAAGGCAAGAAAGAATTTCACGATAATAGGGATATAATGTTGTTATGCATATTTTGTAGGGTAGATCTTGATAGTTTTGTGCAATAAAAGTTTATAGATATTTAGTCTATTGATTTGCTGAATATCTGTTAGTTACTGTCCTGTTTTATAAAGGTTAGACAAATCTCACAGTCATGTTTTCAGTCATCTCATAGTGATACTTGTGACCTTGTTTTCAGGTCTGATTGACTGCTATCTTGCCTCTAATGGTGTCCGGGAGGCTATGGGAATGGCCAACAATATTTACAAGACCCTGGGAGCGAACGCCCAACCTCTCACCATCCTGGCCACAGTTTGTCTGGAAGATCCCATGACCCAGGAGAAGGCCAAGACTCTGCTGGACAAAGCCCTCGCTCAGCGGCCCGACTATATCAAAGCTGTCGTGAAGAAAGCAGAGCTCCTCAGTATGTCAAAAAGTCACATGTCTTTCTATGTTAATCGTAAACCGTGCAATTATTTCATTATGATTTATTTTGTTTATTCTATTTTTTTCTATCTATTATTATTAATGTTTTTGTTGTTGTTAATTGATTATGATTTATGGATTTAATTATAATAATTTTATTTTATAATAATATTTTTAATTTTAATAGTGATTTATTTATTCCATTTGTCATTTTATTTATTTTATTGTTATTATTATAGTTTTCGTTATTAACTAGTTATCATATTAATTACATTATTTCCTATTTTTTATTATAATTTTTATTATATACTTTTTCTATTATTATTATTTTTACTTATTTATTCTTCTATTATTAAATTTATCATTATTATCTATTTTATGTTGTTATTATAACTTATTTATTAATTACATTATTATTATAAATTATTATTATTTTATTTTTTGTATTATTTATATGATTTCCTATTTATTAATTATATTATTATTTTATACTTTTCTAATTATTATTATTTTGTTTATTTATTCTTCTATTTATTATTAGTTTTATTATTATTTAAAATGAGTCACTAATAAATATTTTTAAGTTATTATAAATAATTTTATTTTAAAATGACAATTATTACACTTTTTATTTGATCAATTTAATAATTCGTAGTAGTAATTTATTTTTATGTATTTGTTTTTCTATTTGTTTATTTTGTTCATTATATAGTTTATTATTATTGTTGCCGTTTTTGTTGTTCTTTAACTGTTATGAAAGTTAGTTATGAAATAACACACATTATTGTTAATAATTAAGCTTCAAAAGCTGATATTTTGGTGGAATGCTGTGTAAAATCTAAATTGTTTTCATTACAGGTCGAGAACAGAAGTATGAGGAAGGAATAGCACTTCTACGGAACACTTTAGCCAATCAGAGCGACTGCGTGCTGCACAGGATGCTGGGGGATTTTCTCGTAGCTGTTAATGACTATCAGGAGGCCATGGACCAGTACAGTATAGCGCTAAGGTAACGTCATCCACACTGTACGGTACAATCTTAAACATTAGAGTCGAGCAGAACTGACTGTTCTAGTCCTCTTCTGTAGCCTCGATCCGAATGACCAGAAGTCTCTGGAGGGCATGCAGAAGATGGAGAAGGAGGAGAGTCCCACAGACGCCACGGTGGAGCTGGACGGGGACGATATGGAGGGCAGTGGGGAGGAGGGAGATCTGGAGGGCAGCGACAGCGAGGCGGTGCAGTGGGCCGATCAGGAGCAGTGGTTCGGCATGCAGTGACCCTCAGCACTCATTAAGAGACTCTTCCGAAAAACATCCACACTCATGGATTTTGATGTGTGAGAGTGGAGAGATGCCATTATTGCTCACTGCTGCTGTCTAGTGGTGAGTTACGAACACTGACTTTATTCGGATTTGTGGATGACATTTGGATTTGTTTGGTAGCTTGTCCTTAAAGTTTCCAGTTTTGTCATATCCAAAGATTATCTTTCTCATACAGCACTACACAGATTCAGTCTGTCGCCAGCTTGGCCACAAGGATGGTATAATCTTTTTTTCAACATACAGTGCTGCTGATGTTGGACTAAATACACAAATGATTCACTCTTAATGTATTTTCTAACAGTTTTTAAGCATCATGGGCCTCACTTTTGCTGTTTTGGGTTAAACACAGGACTAGGCAACTGTGCTACTTATTTTTCATAAAGGTGTCAGATCTGTCATTTGTTTTGCATGCTCTAAGCTTTTTTCAGTAAAAGTGATTGTTAGAGACGTCTTTTAAATGAACCACAATCACACAAAATCTTTGTTTTTTTTCTGATCTGGTGTGTAATGAAAACATGTCAAAGTCGTATATCATGCCAAAATCTAAAAGAAAATGTTTTGTGTAGAAAATGAATCCTGTTAGGAATTTCACATTTTTATGGCATTTAAGTACATTTCACCCATTCATTAATGCTCATTCAGTGTGGTGATTTCTATTAAGATAATGCAGCGATACTATTTAAATGTTTTTTTTTTTTGCTTTGATGAAAATGTATTAAGAGATTTATTACTTATGCAAAAGTGGGGGGGGGGGGTTTCCCCTTTTGGTTTTGGTGTGAATAACTCATATAAATTCATTTCTGTAGCCCTATGTGCATTCTTTTTTTTTTTCCTTTTCATTGTCTTGTTTCTGTATTGTTGTAAATAAGGCTATTTTTAAATGTTTTTGAATTAAAATCATGGCATGAAAAATGTTGACGTGCTCAATGTTACTAAACAGAATATCTCTTTTCCTCATACAAAATCGTGTTGACAAGGTAAAGAAACAGCAGTGCAACCATGTAATATCATTTTATTAACCACAAGTCTTTGTGATAATTACAACACTGATTCGGCAGCGCCCGCTCTCCGTTGTCATGGGCACTGCTGTAAAACACCGCCTGTCTCTCAATGTCACACACACACACACCTAACACCTGAAATGAACCTCTGCTTTAAAACATATTGCACAACCCTGTGCAAAGCAACAAGAACAATCAGTTTTGGTTAATTTTTTCACTAATGGCATCTTTTTGTCTTTTCAAATGAAATATTGCAGTGCTATACAAGTTTCTAACAAAAGGGGACATGCAGCATGAAAACTGCTGTAATGTTTAATGCATTGTGGGGGGGTTTTTCTGTCCAAATTTCACTGGCTTCAGACGGGTTCAACCTGAAATATCAGGTCTTAATTTTTCCACTCCTAATGTTTGAGCTTCTTCTAAACTAATGACACAAATTCTTAGGTTTTAGCACAGTTGACATGCAGGCCTAGAAAGATGTGTGGAGCTGCCGAAAACAACATGCACTAAAGTCAAGAAAACCTCACAGCTTCTGCAAGGAATACAGAGAGCGGATTGGCTTAATCATCCCGAGCTGGAGAGAGAGAGAGAAAGAGAGATGGCAAAATAAGGACACATTTGAAAACAAATAAAACACAACGATACTGTATACATAAAGAAATGTGATGTCATGCAACTATAGCTAGACATTAAATGCCTCTTTACAGAGTTACATATAGCTCCTTTAGAAACATTGTAGAGACAGTTGCATGACGTCAGTCAATCTGATGCAGGCAGCAGTACAAACAAACATGAGGTTGTGAATGTGTATTATGTGAGCAGTACTCACTCGCTGATGCACACAGGACAAAATTATTCATTTTAATAGCTAATTTAATCATGCATGTCTGTTGGGCACCTGCAGTAAGACACTTTTACAAGAGAACTGATTATTATTATTTTTAAAGGAGGAAAAAAAAAATTTGGACCCCTAATGAATAAATTGTGCCATTTATAGATGTAAAGAGATCCCGTGTAATAATGCCAGGGTTTTAATCTCAGAATTCATCCTAGATATAACAAAGGGATAATTTGTGCTCAGTTCATTTACTCAGCATCTAGTATTTACACACATTACAGTAAAAATAATTCATCTATAATATTATAATCACTACACTGTCCCTATAAATACATCCAGCACATGAAAAAGTAAACATCTTCCGAGGATCTGCGCAAAGCATATTCTAAACACACTGTCAGTGTCACGTCTTTTTTACTAAAGCATTAATAAAATAAAACTATGAACAGCTAGTGTTTTAGTTGAAGGGAAGAAGTACATTTGGCTAGTCTTCTATCGAGCAAAAATAAAGTCAGGAAAGGGGTCCTAAGAAAGCAACGGACGGAACTGAGGTAGCTCCAATCTACTTAACACAGAGGAAATCTTTTTGCTTCAAGCGAGGAAAGGAAACAGAAACGACATGGTTGACGTTGCAGTGGAAAACATCTAAATATAACCCAAATGCACATTCGCTCTTTTTGGCCCAGCGGACTCAAAAGGCTATAAAGAAATCTTAGAGCTCGGAGCCAAAAATATCCAAAGAAATCTGATCAATTTTTCATCTCTGCACTTTAAGCATCCAAAAAAGGCCATAAGGGGGACCTGAGAAAATATACACCTTTCATAAGAAAAGAAAAAAAGTGCTTAAAATGGAATGATAAAAAAGGAACATACTATTCTCCGACAACAAATTGCCATATATGAGGATAAACATTATATATACACACTTAAAAAAAACAAAAATGAAACAAGGCTGAAATGCATGTGCAAATGTGAACGGGTGACTGCTGTTCCTTGTTAATGTTTCTTCTCTGGTTATTTGGAGTCATGTGTTAGCTTACGTCATCCACACTGTACGGTACAATCTTAAACATTAGAGTCGAGCAGAACTGACTGTTCTAGTCCTCTTCTGTAGCCTCGATCCGAATGACCAGAAGTCTCTGGAGGGCATGCAGAAGATGGAGAAGGAGGAGAGTCCCACAGACGCCACGGTGGAGCTGGACGGGGACGATATGGAGGGCAGTGGGGAGGAGGGAGATCTGGAGGGCAGCGACAGCGAGGCGGTGCAGTGGGCCGATCAGGAGCAGTGGTTCGGCATGCAGTGACCCTCAGCACTCATTAAGAGACTCTTCCGAAAAACATCCACACTCATGGATTTTGATGTGTGAGAGTGGAGAGATGCCATTATTGCTCACTGCTGCTGTCTAGTGGTGAGTTACGAACACTGACTTTATTCGGATTTGTGGATGACATTTGGATTTGTTTGGTAGCTTGTCCTTAAAGTTTCCAGTTTTGTCATATCCAAAGATTATCTTTCTCATACAGCACTACACAGATTCAGTCTGTCGCCAGCTTGGCCACAAGGATGGTATAATCTTTTTTTCAACATACAGTGCTGCTGATGTTGGACTAAATACACAAATGATTCACTCTTAATGTATTTTCGAACAGTTTTTAAGCATCATGGGCCTCACTTTTGCTGTTTTGGGTTAAACACAGGACTAGGCAACTGTGCTACTTATTTTTCATAAAGGTGTCAGATCTGTCATTTGTTTTGCATGCTCTAAGCTTTTTTCAGTAAAAGTGATTGTTAGAGACGTCTTTTAAATGAACCACAATCACACAAAATCTTTAGGGTTTTTTTCTGATCTGGTGTGTAATGAAAACATGTCAAAGTCGTATATCATGCCAAAATCTAAAAGAAAAAGTTTCCCCTTTTGGTTTTGGTGTGAATAACTCATATAAATTCATTTCTGTAGCCCTATGTGCATTCTTTTTTTTTTTCCTTTTCATTGTCTTGTTTCTGTATTGTTGTAAATAAGGCTATTTTTAAATGTTTTTGAATTAAAATCATGGCATGAAAAATGTTGACGTGCTCAATGTTACTAAACAGAATATCTCTTTTCCTCATACAAAATCGTGTTGACAAGGTAAAGAAACAGCAGTGCAACCATGTAATATCATTTTATTAACCACAAGTCTTTGTGATAATTACAACACTGATTCGGCAGCGCCCGCTCTCCGTTGTCATGGGCACTGCTGTAAAACACCGCCTGTCTCTCAATGTCACACACACACACACCTAACACCTGAAATGAACCTCTGCTTTAAAACATATTGCACAACCCTGTGCAAAGCAACAAGAACAATCAGTTTTGGTTAATTTTTTCACTAATGGCATCTTTTTGTCTTTTCAAATGAAATATTGCAGTGCTATACAAGTTTCTAACAAAAGGGGACATGCAGCATGAAAACTGCTGTAATGTTTAATGCATTGTGGGGGGGTTTTTCTGTCCAAATTTCACTGGCTTCAGACGGGTTCAACCTGAAATATCAGGTCTTAATTTTTCCACTCCTAATGTTTGAGCTTCTTCTAAACTAATGACACAAATTCTTAGGTTTTAGCACAGTTGACATGCAGGCCTAGAAAGATGTGTGGAGCTGCCGAAAACAACATGCACTAAAGTCAAGAAAACCTCACAGCTTCTGCAAGGAATACAGAGAGCGGATTGGCTTAATCATCCCGAGCTGGAGAGAGAGAGAGAAAGAGAGATGGCAAAATAAGGACACATTTGAAAACAAATAAAACACAACGATACTGTATACATAAAGAAATGTGATGTCATGCAACTATAGCTAGACATTAAATGCCTCTTTACAGAGTTACATATAGCTCCTTTAGAAACATTGTAGAGACAGTTGCATGACGTCAGTCAATCTGATGCAGGCAGCAGTACAAACAAACATGAGGTTGTGAATGTGTATTATGTGAGCAGTACTCACTCGCTGATGCACACAGGACAAAATTATTCATTTTAATAGCTAATTTAATCATGCATGTCTGTTGGGCACCTGCAGTAAGACACTTTTACAAGAGAACTGATTATTATTATTTTTAAAGGAGGAAAAAAAAAATTTGGACCCCTAATGAATAAATTGTGCCATTTATAGATGTAAAGAGATCCCGTGTAATAATGCCAGGGTTTTAATCTCAGAATTCATCCTAGATATAACAAAAAAAAAAGGGATAATTTGTGCTCAGTTCATTTACTCAGCATCTAGTATTTACACACATTACAGTAAAAATAATTCATCTATAATATTATAATCACTACACTGTCCCTATAAATACATCCAGCACATGAAAAAGTAAACATCTTCCGAGGATCTGCGCAAAGCATATTCTAAACACACTGTCAGTGTCACGTCTTTTTTACTAAAGCATTAATAAAATAAAACTATGAACAGCTAGTGTTTTAGTTGAAGGGAAGAAGTACATTTGGCTAGTCTTCTATCGAGCAAAAATAAAGTCAGGAAAGGGGTCCTAAGAAAGCAACGGACGGAACTGAGGTAGCTCCAATCTACTTAACACAGAGGAAATCTTTTTGCTTCAAGCGAGGAAAGGAAACAGAAACGACATGGTTGACGTTGCAGTGGAAAACATCTAAATATAACCCAAATGCACATTCGCTCTTTTTGGCCCAGCGGACTCAAAAGGCTATAAAGAAATCTTAGAGCTCGGAGCCAAAAATATCCAAAGAAATCTGATCAATTTTTCATCTCTGCACTTTAAGCATCCAAAAAAGGCCATAAGGGGGACCTGAGAAAATATACACCTTTCATAAGAAAAGAAAAAAAGTGCTTAAAATGGAATGATAAAAAAGGAACATACTATTCTCCGACAACAAATTGCCATATATGAGGATAAACATTATATATACACACTTAAAAAAAACAAAAATGAAACAAGGCTGAAATGCATGTGCAAATGTGAACGGGTGACTGCTGTTCCTTGTTAATGTTTCTTCTCTGGTTATTTGGAGTCATGTGTTAGCTTGGATGGGTCAGGAGGACCAGAGCTGCTGGGTTATGTTAGTGTCTGTGCCGTACAGCCACACCACTAGAGGGAGTGTCAGAGCTACGAAGGGCCAGGAGACCCCCTCAGTGCATGCAGAGAGGGACCAGACTCTCTTGTCGGGTTCCCGGTCCAGGTCTTTACCGGGCTCCAGGTAGTTCCTCGCGATGAATTTGAGCAGCTCGTCCATGAGGATGACAGGCAGTGAGATCTTCAGCACCATCAGCCACTGGGTCACATTCAGAGCGGTGATCTGGAAGATGACCTGAGGAACAGCAGAGGGTGAAGCAAAGAAAATATGGAATGAAACGGGGATCGACACCAAGGCTTTCACAGACACCAGTGTACCAACAGCCTACAGGCTTTAATTATATTTTATTTAATAAACATTGACAATAGCGGTCTTTTATTATACTATTATTTAATATAATAGCATTCTATTTATTAAATTAACTATTTATTAATGATATATTTTATAATATAAATAAGCATAAAAGTAGAAAGCAATAACACATCCACACAATTTTTAAAAGGATTTCTCAACGTAAAAAGTATTTATTCATATAGTATTCAGAATAGATTTCTTTATTTTAAATAATAATAACAACAACTATAGATACCTGAGGAACAGCAGAGGGTGAAGCAAAGAAAATATGGAATGAAACGGGGATCGACACCAAGGCTTTCACAGACACCAGTGTACCAACAGCCTACAGGCTTTAATTATATTTTATTTAATAAACATTGACAATAGCGGTCTTTTATTATACTATTATTTAATATAATAACATTATATTTATTAAATTAACTATTAATGATATATTTTATAATATAAAAAAGCATAAAAGTAGAAAGTAATAAGTAATAACACGTCCACACAATTTTTAAAAGGATATCTCAACGTAAAAAGTATTTATTCATATAGAATTCAGAATAGATTTCTTTATTTTAAATAATAATAACAACTATAGATTTTAGAATAACTATATAGATTTTTCTGAGTGACATGGATATATACTGTATCTACATTGTTTATTCATTTATATATAAAAATATATAACTGAAATTAATAAGTAAAAATAGAAATATAAACAAAATTATAAAAATAAAAACAAATAAATATTAAATAAATAAATGACAGACATGATAAATGACTCATTTTAAAATAACATTAATTTATATTATGCTACTACTTTGAGTGTTGGGTAGTAATAGTAGAAAAATATTTTACAAATAATTTTCTATTTTTTTTAAATGATAGATTTTAAGCGAAAAATAATTGTAATCATATTTTAA